AATCGCGATTCCTTTGATCCGGTTGGAAATTTGTTTTTTAATTAACATTCACGGCACTTGAACCTGCGAATTTGAATGCAATGTTAGTGAACCTGTGCCAGCCGAGTATAATAAGATTAATGTATTCCGAGAATTTAATTAAAATATTGTGCTTTCATTTTCTTTGTAACGAGACTTTCGGCGAACAGTATGAAAACGCGAAGTCGCGTAAATTCAAGGAAAAGGGAAGTTAATGCTGTCGTTTTGATATTGGTGGGTGCGTTTGCATGTTAATATTACGGATGAAGATGTTTGTTATCGGACAGTTGAATTTCTGGGCATTAATATTTTCCAAGATATCACCGACGTATCGCCCGCGATACATCGTTCAGCTGCACAGCTCGTTAAACACTAATTACTTGGAGTGGCGCGCGTGGAGGGGACAATTTGAAGAGAATAATCGGGAGGGAGCCGCGGTTTCATACGGGAGAGAAGAAAAGAGAGCGTAATGTCGAATGATGTAAGAGTAATTCCGCACGAAAGATCAAGGTAAATCAATAATACGGTACAGAGCCGGAGGAAACCATCAAATTATATCGCACGCGAGAAAAGGAATAAAATCGCATTGAAATGTTACTGTTCCCTGGCTGAATAACAATAATAATACTTATTATTCGCGTTATTAAATCGTTCTTCACGTTAACATTATTACGTAATAGTGACGTTATCGATTATCTTTAGAAAATCCTTTTTATTTATTTCTCGCGTGTAGAAAGCTTCTCGCTTCTAAAAAAAAGAAACGACAAATAAAAGTGTAGATTCGCCGATAGCAAACAAAAACACCTATCTCGAGTGACCCCATACAATGAAACGGGCGAATCGATAACGGGTAATCCCAAACACGACAAAGGAAGAGATCCGAGCACCTAAAAAGAAGAATATTCAAAATCTGTGTGCACAGCGACCCCTAAAATAGATAACAATTCGACCGTGCGCAGATCATTGATAACGAACCAACTAAACCGACCCATCGAATGGGAAACATTGAAATTGGGAATCGTCGTTCCTGGCACGGGAAAACGGTTCATCCGGTCTCAAATAAATCTACAGTCTCTAATACTCGGTCTCTGAAAGCATAGAAGGGAAAGAGTGAAAAGTTTATCGACACGGTTACGCTTGAACGATAAATAACACGTGTAGAATCAGCAAATTGCATGGGAAACCATACACAAATAGGAATAAGAATAAAGAATCACTTGATTTCCATAAGAAAAATAGAAATTCTAAATCTTCAAACCCAAAGAACAAACAAAAATGACAATAAGCGAACCAAAATCAAATATCGGCTAAATCGAAGAAGTTTCCAAATGAATAAAAGACAACAAAGTAAACCCAAACAGAAAAACCAAGTTCCGGCCACCCACCCGAGAGCAATTCGACCTGAAGTCCAATCAAAACCGAAACGTTCGTGAAATTCACTGAAAAAGAGAACAAGCCAAAGGCAGCGGGACAAAGGAAGCTCGCCCCAAAAAACCCACGAGAAGCCCGAATCTTTAAATACACCCCCCAAAAAAGAGCGGAGGAAATTGAACGGTGGCCGGATCGTCGGTGGCAAACGAGCCAAGCGGATCCAGCGAAAGGGGCAAATCGAACCGGAGACTTTCCACGGCGACCGAGAAAGACAGTCGTCCGTCTATAGAGGAAGAAAGGGAGAGGGAGACGCGAACAATGTGTACCAGAAGCGCGAGAGAGAACGAGAGAACCAGTAGGAATCACGATCGAGGATAGAGGGGGAGTCATAAGGTAGCTCGGCTGTGGCCGGACGAAGACGGAGAGAGAAAGATCGGCGCGAGCGGAACGGAGAGGGTGGATAGGTTGAACGACGTGGGGGGAAGGAGAGAGCATACGGCACAAAGGATCGCGTTAAACAGAGAAGGGACGAGGAGCGCATTGAGTGAGTCAGTGATGGCGTGCAGCAGCCAGGCCGAGCCCAGCTGTTCTTCGATCCCCTAACCTACGGCCAGTTTATTTCAGCTACCAACACTACGTGGTCCCCTGAACGCGTCGCGCTCCCGTGGACTCGTTATCAGTCGACCTCCGGCCCCTATCAGCCTCCGATCGCAGCACTCGCCGGTCTTTTTTCCTGTCTTCGTGCCACCTACTCTTCGGCCGTCATCTTTCTGGATAACGGGCAGGGGACGAAAAAGCAGAAAAAGTGGACCGGGAGAACAGTGAGCCGATTGTGGGCGAAGTTTTCGAGGCTCCAGTACCGCCGCGCCGCTCGGGGATTCGGGTTCACGGCGCGCGGAGATTTTTCACGCAGCCTGCCGGGAACTTTGAACCTTCACCCCCTACGGTTACACTTGGAAAGCTACCCGACCGAGGAAATAACGAATCGAACGTGACCTTTGTGCGGATAGATTGTTACCCGGTTTTTTCCCTCCTCTTTGGCCTTTTTGAAGAGCGACGTCGGATCGAGGGGGTTTTAATGATCGGCTCAGGGGCGGGGATCGTTGATGGGGG